CAAAGGATAAAAAGAAATTTTATCATTAGCAGGCCCATACTGAATAATTTACTTCAGGAAGAAGTAAAATAGTAAAATCGCCAGAAAGAAGTGTAATTAAATCTGAATAAGCTTTGGCTATGTGAAAACATCTTCCAAGATCCACTTGTACTCCAGTTATTATTCATGGCTTTGTCTTTCTAATCATTCCTTATCCGATTCATATTTAAGACTTGAGCATACTACTGTTTTAACGTATCTCCTGGCAGTTATTGCAGGAATTGGCTTTAATTTCTGGACCCCTTTTTAAACTTACATCAGAAAGATGCAGAGATACTCTTACATTACCTAAATGCATACCATACCTGCCACTGAGAATGCACTTGTCTTTGTCACTTTCTTGTGGCTGAAATGCAACACCTAATACTCCCAAATTAAAGGAAGAGAAATTTGTTTTGGTCACAGTTTAGTTGACATTTGGTCTCATTTGGATCCAAATGAGAACAGCATGGCAGAGGGACAGACAGAAGAAAACTGCTCGCATCATGGTGGCAGGAAGCAGAGAAAGAAGAGAGGAGCCAGGGGCCTGGACATGCCCTTTTAGGTCATGCCCTCAATGTGTCGCCTCTAACCAGGCCCCATCTCCTACAGCAAGTCAGCTGCAGCCCCATGATCCAGTCAGCTTACACCAGCCCTGCCCCTGAGCACAGAAGACTTTGAGGAGCCATTCCAGATTTAAACCACAACAGAACTACATCCTCTTTTTACTGGGAATAATGTTCTTTTAAGGAAAGGTGACCAAGAGGTGGAGGAAAGGGGAAGTGGGGAAGGGGATGAAAAGAAGAATTAAGATGTATTATGTACATGTATCAACTCCAGATGAGGAATGTAGTCATTAAGTATTGCAAATATGAACCAATGAAAAAGAACTGAATGACCCCTAACTGAGAGAGAGAGAGACAGAGAGAGACAGAAAGAGAGAGAGAGAGAGAGAGAGAGAGAGAGAGAGAGAGAGAGAGAGAGAGAGAGAAAACCAGAAATGCCCTTGGGAGAAAATTTCAATTGGAACTAATATCTAATTATAACTGAAAGAGAAACAGAATACCAGTTTTTCAAAATTAAAAATTATTGTCTTGGGCTGATAATCTCCAAAATGCAATATACTTACATCAAATTAATTCCTACAGTAAATAAATGCATTCTTATTTTGTAAGGATTTCATGTTGATATACAATGAGAAAATAAGAAGTTCCAAAAGAATATTAGACATTTCTCTTACAGTGAAATATGTTTTGAAATATTTCAAAATCAGACCATTTTGCCTATTCATAAGTGGTGTAAAATTTGGAGACAACATTAACTTTGTTCATACGCTAAAATGACACTAAAGCTTCCTCGGGTAAATATCAATTGTACCTGCATGCTGACCATTCCTACACATATACTGTTGTCACTCTGTGTAAGTTGTAGTCATTTACCCTGTATTCTGATGCTTAAGTTTCATCATAGCATTTCATCCACATCATCTGCTCGCCATAAAGCTTGTGGATCTGTCCTTCATCCATGTGTTTTGTAGAATATCTATAATTCAACACTTCACCAGAACACACAACCTCAAACCCTGGGCCGCATTAATAAAAGTTAACCTGACAGGATACAATTTATATGATATTAGGTATTATAAAGATGGAAAACATTATGCTTTCTCATCATGCTTTCAATTCTTTTCTTGACTCAGATGAAACCATCACCAGATGCTCAGATATCATCACCTCACTACAATACAGTCATTTTTACTGTGTTACATTACTCTTTCAAATTTTTCAGATGGCATTGTATTAAAAAACATATGAAATGTATCATTACATTTTTTAAAAGTTGTGGATGATATTGTCCATCCTATCACTCAATGGTCCCATTTAAAGTTCTATGTAAGCAATTGGTATGGAAGCTGAAGGCAGGGAAGGAAAGTTTGAGTATGTTGAATGTTAGGGATGACCAGGCACAATTTTTTAATCCAAGAAGTCAATGTAAATCACGAGGAAGTTATGAGGTTTATATAGTTATATAGTTATTTACAAGTTACATAATCATCTCCTTAAATCTTATATTAAGATCACTTATGGCAATTATGTTAGCTCTTTGTTCCTTATTTTCTAGAGAAATCACATTATACCAGTATTTTTCATATATTTTGTTGTATCAATACTAAATTTGTGAGAAGTAGTGAGTTATAGAAAAATTAAAATAAATCAAAGTGACTATAAAACAAATGCCCAATAAAGATACAGCCTATGAAAATCATGTAATTTAACAAGCTATCAGTTTAATTTATGCACTATTTAGAGAAAAGTACATTGTTTTTCTCTAAGACTGTCATAATGTTATGTGAGCCATTACACTCTCTTAGTGCATTTAGGTATTGCCTATATGATAATACTGTCTAAAACTGAATCTAGTATCGTAGACTGGATCATGATTTCGGAAAGTAGCAGTTTCATAGCCTGCTAAAATCACGCATGGTTCTTCCATCTCCAACTCCTCTTGGAAACAGATCTAAGTACTGTAGTGAATAATATATTTTTTGCTGACTTTGGCTTATTATGAGTGTCAGATTTCCTGTCTCAACTACTCGTGCATAACCAATCCTTTTAGTAGAAAGCATCTTCCCATATTTTATAGTCTGTGCAGTCTTTGATTTTTCCTTTTCCTCCCAAATGGGAGTCACCTAAAATTCTGGGATGAAACTTTCTTTCATCAATCAAAATAAGGCAATTAAAAATATAGATAGATACATATACATATACACAAAGACATATGTATCATAGTTAGGTCTCCCAATTTGTTTTTCACTGAAAAACAAGTAAAAGAAAATGAAGAAACTTCTGTATTTCCTTATGATTATTGCTATAATCAATGAGAATGATCATTTTTTGATTTCTAAGTTTATTCTTTGGTATTTTGTTTTCCTGAAAAGGTTTTGGATAATAATTACAAAAGTTTTGTTACCACTAATGTATCAAATACTATCACAGGTCAGACTACATACTTTCCTGTACTAAGATCTATCTTTTACAGAAATAGTTATTATCTCTCTTTTTCATAACAACTGTGATTTGAATAAGGTTAAATAACATGCCCAGAGCCACACTGTTGGTACAGTGGAATAATATTCAAACCCACTGTGACTCAACTTTGTGCACTTCACAATACATCACTCAGCCTATTTTATTAGGATGTACAAAAGATTGTATTTAAATAGTGAATTAATTATTGTTTAAGCCACATGTTTTCTATGAAATGTGAACCAAAAATTAAAATGACCACAATAATCATGAGGGAGATGGAAGATGAGAGTCAGAAAGAACAATGTTGTCCTCAGTTGGATCATTAAGTGAGGTTGCTGTGTAAAATCTAACCACATTCTTCATGAAGTGTCCATAAGGCTACAATTTGCAGAAAGCTGTCACCACCCAGAAGGCAGGCACCACCAACTACCTGAAAAAGTACAGTGTGGGGGCATGCTTAGATCTTAGAAGTCACCACTTCATCCTTAAAAATCAACAAGTCTTCTTATATTCATCAGAGAAACAAGGTCATAGGCAAAGATTCCATCCATCACCTGTTTTATCTTTAACCTTCACTTGGACTACTGTGCCTTGATAGCATCGGGGGTCTCCAGAGATCATTATCATTTCAGAGAGAGGGTCTAAGAAGGCTGAAAAGTTCTGTGTGGATTCCTGGTAGATTCTTTAATCTAATGCGTATGTAATGGACATACTTCCTTCTGAGTAAGGATTAAAGAGTCAGTTATCATGTTTCATGTCTGAGAAATAGCTGAGACTTGCAACTATTAAATCTCTTAAGGAGACTTTACTTAGGGTTGCCCACAAGATCTAGAGTCTATCTGCCTGTGCATATCAGGAAATACCTCATATACTGTCTATTTTATTGCTAGAAATTCTATGTTCCTATGCAGCATTTCATCTGATTGTTTTCCTAATCCATACTGCTAATTATGATCGTTGTTCTAATTGTATTTGACAGTAGAGTATGTCAACCTGGCTTTTAAAGAGAGGAGATGATCCTGCCACAATGGAATTCACTGAGATTTGGGGTTCACATTCCACATCTTTGTATGTGTCTATCCAATGTTTCCCTTTTCATTGACCAGTGGCTCTCTGCTTTTCCATCAATACCCTAAATGTACCAGAGAGACCTGAAAATAAGGAGCACTTAATGTGCTGGATCTCCTAAGTCTAACCTTCATCATAGTCTTCACTGTATTTGCTTTCAGACTTTAAGACATAAACGAGTCCCTGAAAGCTAACAGAGGTGCTTTCTCATTTTTCACTCATGTTCTGAATTAGCATGGAAGGCACTAAGTTACTTACTTTCTCTGCATTTACTATGCAGGGTTGCCTGAAAATGTCAGCTGACCACCCAGCCTTCATATTTGTTATTGTTGCCATAAAGAATAATTTTAAAACCTATTAACTTCCCACGTGTTGTCTTCATTCCATGCTTTTACTGGTAATAATCTGAATAACAGAAAGGGCATCACAGGACTCAGTTTATTATGTTACATTTGTCTCTAGCAAGTTGGCTATGTGCTCCTTAGCTGTATCCAAAAACCAATCTCACAATCCAAACTTGAAGATCTGATTCCTAGGGCTTCTTATGATGTCAAAAGCCATACTAAAGGTATTATCAGCAAAAAGAGGCCATTTTAAAATGGAGAACTAAATAAATATATTCTGCAACTTGTACACAGGTTTAAGAGAAACCAAATTATTGGTTTAAAAAAATCCTAGGGCTAACAAGGGGTGGGGGGGCTTTAACCAACATAACTTGATAGTGTATGGGAAATACAGGTTAGCAGAACCCAGAAAAAGTTTAGTCCTGTCATCTAACAGGAATTCTGACCTTCAGTCACCTTGTAGAAGTGAAATGAAAGAAAAAGCACTGTAAAATCACTGACCTCCTTTCTTTCTGTCTTACGCTATTATCTCCCATTAAAAGACGGAAACCAGAGATCAAAAGCCCCATTCTCACTGTTCAAATAACTCAGCCTTCAAGGGAAAGAGGAAGAGGATGAATGTCGGAGAAGCAGTTCCAGAGAAGACAGTAACAAGTACCAGCAGGATGGTAAATGTATCTATAAATGTCAAAGAGGGTGTCCCATGTAAAGCATCAACCTGGCCTCAGGCTAAGGCATAACAGTAAATAATAGAAATTTGATAGGAAAGCAGGATACATGAGCCTCTCTTTCTGTTTGAAACCCAGAAGATACCAATCCTCAGGGTGAAATATCTAAAGTCAGCATGGTATAATGACAGTAGATTAAAAATTATGACAGAGCAATTCCATCTGAGAATCTCAAAAGGCTTCGCACCGTGCTGAAATCTCTCATAGGTACAGAGAAGGGAGAATGTACAGCTCAGTTTCTCAGGCCCACCGCTCCCTTGAGAGGATTATAGAATAAAAGAGCTGTCAAGATGCACGAACAAATGAAGTCAAATAATCCACAAATCAACTAATAAATGCTAAAGTGAGGCCTTAAACATAAACTAAGATGTCAAAGGTCTAGATGCTAATGGACTTTAGGGTCCTTCTCAGTTTGGTGGTGCAGGACAAAGAATATACCTCACTCATTGATGACAAGATGCTCCACGTAGAGAGAAGAGACTTGCATATATTCTGAGTCGATTGAGTACAAATAATAGGAAAAATATTAAAATCTGAGCCTAAATAAAATTGTCTAGATTCAATGATCAGCCTATCACTCAGAATGGGTGTTCAATTGAAAATTAAAATGCTGCATTTGCCACCTGAATATATGACTTGAAAATTTCTGTCTAGAAAGCTACACACACACACACACACACACACACACACACACACAATGTTGCACTAGAATAAGTTTGAGCCAAAGTTTATATCAAGGTGAACACAATTTAATATCCGTAGATCTATTCTAATAACCATTGGGCATTTCAATTTATAATCCCAACATATTTTATCCAAATACCTTCCTGTGTTAATCAGCACTATTCAGCTTATAGTGCAAGTTTTCTCTTCTGCATACATATTTTCTATAACTCAATCAAAAAGTTGTTCCTACAGCAGCCAAGACATTTCCAGCTATTTTCTTTTACTTGAATCAGAGACTAATTGTACTTAAGGTTTATAAATTTTACAAAAAAATCTATAGCTATTATCCCTAATGAAGCCCCTGTGGTGTGTCAGCCCCACCAGTGACGACTCCCACTTGTCTTGTTAAGCCTTCAGATTTTCCCTCTGCCATAACATGCTACTAGTAAGTAAATTATAATCTAGAATGCCCATTAAGTTTATGTGCATGTGTTGCCTTGCAGCCTTCAATATTTAATCATAAATTTTATGACAAAAACTTCAAAGTAGTAAAACTCTACTTTCCATTAAACTTTAATGAATTAGAAATATAAAGCTAATGTTTTTCATGTTTTTCAAAAAAATAACAGTGAAAGTGTCTATGTAATGGAAAGCTGTTTGTGCTTCAAATGAACACAGCATATGCAGGCTTCAGCCTCAAGACAATTTTTATGACCAAGTCACCAGATCCTAGAAAGAAGCTTTTATGGTAGAAATGTCAGTTCTTAACATATACACAGTACTTTCAAGGCTTTTGTCACATTAATTATTTCTGTTAATAATTTGGAGGCTCAAAAGCAATTCATGATTTTAAATATGGCACAATATCTGTTAAAGTGTTTTTTTATATCTTCTATCTTCCTATTTCTGCTACAAGCTGTATTGTTTGTTGTAAGATTTATGCACCTACATAGAAATACACTAACCAAAATAATGCTTCTGAAGCTTTGTTCAGGAAACAGCTACATTGAAATGATTAATACTCCTCTTAAATTATTATTTAAAATAAAGTATTTCCTCATTTACTTACATAGCAACTAGCTCCTTAAATTCTTTGGTTCTTGTCTTCATTAACCTGCAGCCTCTTTTAGGAGGAACAGTGATATCTGGCAAACACTTATTATACCTAGTGTAAATGTATATACTCAACACTGTCCTAAAAGATTTACATTCATTGATTTATTTAATAATTACAACAATCCTCTGGGAACAGTTACTATTCCTACACCATTTTTGTAGATGAATGAAAGAATACATGCCCAAGACAGCACAACAACTGGTAAGAAGACTGTCAAGTTAAGCAGCTGAAACACAGAGCCCCTTTGGTGCCTGCCCTTCCTTACAGGTGAGAAAAGGTGGGAAAATATTAAGTACTCTAAAATTGCAATCTTCTACTTTTACAGTAAAATTTAGTGAATTAGATTTAATTCTATACCATTGTACCTGTTTCAAGAATCAACTGTATTTTGGAGAGCTGAACTAAAGCATATGGTTAAAAAAACTACCAGAAAGGAAATTTGCCATGAAGAATAATTTTATATTCCTGAAGGATGCATTTTTCAAGTCTCTCAGAGCTAGGTTATGTGTCAACCTCAATGAGAGAGGCAGTTATTGCCTAGAGTATAATTTTCTAAGACTAGAGTCTATTAAGTCATTCAAAGGCATACTATAAGTTTCTGTGCTAAGGGGCTACTTCTAAATACATAAAACCTACTTCCAAATGATAATTAGTTCCATTTTGCTATGCTATCAATACTAAAAACTCTCTATGGTAAACATCTTTGCGTCCACATTACAAATTACTCAATTACTCATGACTCCAAATATTTATCAGACCAGCACATTATATAAGAAATGCTTCACCTGTGAATGTATGAGCCAACTTAGTCCTCCCATTTTAGATTTTTTGTCTTACCTCCCCCACCCTTCTTTGCTTTTAACCCACTACAAACTTGCATGCATTCCCATCCCCACTCACACCTCATAGAAGACTTTCTAGCTCAAGGAACATAGAATAGGATAGTAAACTCAAGGAAAGTTCTAATTGTGCTCAATCAAACTTTTTGTTTCTCTGAAGAATTTTTATGATCGGAAAATGAGAGTCCCTTCTTCTCTCTCACACTAGAAAACAAACAAAATAGTCTCAGATAATCACAGCCCTGAAAGAAAGAAGTAACTGGGGAGCGTAAATGTTCATGTCAGCTGGTATTGATTCATTGACTATCTCATTGGAAAATAAAACATGTAAGTAAATAAATGTATGTGCGTGATTGTACTCACTTAGACTTCATTTTTTTCTGATTTAAAGATCTGGCTTGCCTACTATGCCACAAAGCTTTAAATTACTCTACTGAAATTATTAATGGCAACATTAAGCATCCTTAGGCAATTTTTCTTAGTCAAAAGAAGTTCATTGATTATATTTAAGTTGCTAGCATTGATTTGTAGCTACATGTATTAACTCCGGAAATTAATTTTTAAGTTTGAAATAATTTCTTTTATTTAATATGCATTTGAAAATTAGAAATTATTTTTCTAAAGTTTTCTGTAGTACAAATATTTATGGTAAAATTATTTATTACAAGAAAGAACTCTTTGCACATTGAGTATTTACTTACTCAACAAATGTTTATTGAGCACTTAGCTAATATTTTATTGCAGTGAATGAAACAAAAAGTCTCATATTCTTCTGGTGGAAGGAAGACAATTAATACACAAACAAATGAATACAGAATGCCAAGTGGTAAGGGAAGATCAAGAAATCTTCTCTTGGGGATAGAGTAATAAGAGTAGGTGTTATCCTACATGTTCAGGAAGTCTTCCTCTCTAAGGCATCATTTGGATAGTTAATTCAGGGAGCAAGTCATGAAGCTATTTGCAGAAGTGTTATTGACTGAAGGGATCACAAACACCAATGCCCAAAGGCAGGAACATGTAAATGCTTCTGTTATTTTTATATATTTATATAGCAGTTGAAAGCAAAAATTTTTTCTGTTGTGTCTGGTGGGTCTGGATCCAGGGTCACCAGATTCACCCTTGTGGGGCTTGTCTCTCTTTGTAGTGTAGAAAGAGGGAGAGGAGTCAGAAGACCAGGGTAAAGTAAAAGTAATTTTATTGTAGGTATTGCAAGAGGAAGTGGTAAAAGCCAGTCCAGAGGAGTAGGGATGCTCAGAGCTAGGTCACCACTGAGTGTGGGCCAGCACTTTGGGGGTTTCTAGTCCCCATGGAGCATTTTGATGGACTTCAAAGTAGGCATTGTCTACTTTTGTAGCAGAAACTGGAACCCTGTCTCTTTTTCCCCCTTGACTGAGAATCTCGCTGAGAAGGATCATAACATCTACCCATGTCAGTTTGAATAGCGAGGTCACTTTTCTAAAGGCCCTAATATATCTATTAGGGTCATCAGTAAAATTTTTCAAGTCTAGTTTTATTTTCCTGAATTCTGGATAAGTAAAGAGGACCTGTTTTGATATCCCCTTGAAGTTGGCATGGAGGGGAAAAAGTTTTTCAGGCAGGGCTGTGTAAGTCTAAGGAGCAGCCTCTGAGTGAGGTGGAACAGGGTTCTGACTCATTTTACTCTGGGGAGTGCTCTTCACCAACAGGCAGGAAAGAGGCAATGTCTCGAGGAGCAAGGGGTCTAAGGAACATGTGGACATCTATTTAGAGTGACCCCAAAGAGCAAAGAAAAGCTGGACATAAGGTGCCTCACTCCATTTGCCTTCACTCTTGTGAAAGAGATCTAAGTGGAGGTTGGTCTTATAATTCAAGGACCCTTTTAGGGTCTACTGCTCTTGGTCCTCTAATGGGTACTGTATCCAAGCCTCTGTACAATAAAAGATAAGAACTGTTATTTTTAAGTGACTGAGGATCTAATTCCTTTGACCAGTAAGGCCAAATCACAGAAGCTCTCGTATTCCTGGGAAGAACTTTAGTAAAACCTGGTCAGCAGGGAGTCAGACAAACAGATCAGGGATTCAGCAGTATTCTGAGATCCACCACTCTACCAGATGAGGGTGAAATCCAAATCCTTCCTTGACAGTCAGAGATTATACTCGATCCTGCTGGCACCTGGGGCCCTCTAACCCTAAATAGAGCCCAGCTAGAAGATTTCCAGTGTGTTAGATCATGGTGGGAGGTATCTCTGGAAAACAAGTTGAGAAGAGGATGAGTGTCCTCCCACATTCGCTCAGGTTTACGCTGGGGATACTGACCGTGTCTGTTGGTCTTAGTAGTCTTTTTTAAATCCCAGATGAGCCCCCAGATTATGTTATACCTGGTGGTCCTGGGGTCTAGGGTCCCTAGACTCACCCTTACCAGGCTTGTCTCTCTCCAACATAGAAAGAGAAGAGGAGTCAGAAGACCAGTGCAAAGCAAAAGTAACTGTATTGTAGGTATTGCCAGAGGAAGTGGTACAAAGCCTCTCCAGAGGAGTAGAGGTGCCCAGAGCTGGGTCACTGCTAGGTGTGGGCCAGCAGTCCTGTTTTTATAGAGTTGGGGTCCTATCCCCACTCCCCCCTTTGAGGTGTCACTACTTGATTGGTTATTGGACTTGTTGCTAGGGGGCGAGATTTGGTGAGCTAATAGGGGAATTTTGAGGGGAGATTTTGTAGGGAGAAGTAGCCCACCTGAAAAGGTGCTTAGGCAGGCCAGTGTCAGCAACACAGAGGCAGGTATCAAAACTGCAAGCTGTCAGCTCAGTGTCAGTGACACAGAAGCAGGTGTCAAACCGAAGGCTGTCAGCTCAGCTGCTAGCTGCAATGCAGAGGTTATCTTTTTATTTCTTAAAGGGCCCAGTTCCCGATCCAGCCCTAAGGATCCCATTTTTCCCTATGCTGCAAAAACATGTACCCAAATTAATTGGATTTAAAGGGGAATTAAGATTAAGAGCAGATTGTGCAAAGTCTTTTCATCTTTGAAACCAGAAAATATAGACATTGGTACCACCATCTACATCACCCAAGCAGGCAGTTAACCGAGTAGTGGCTACAAGCAATAGATTAGAAATCAGTTAACAACACAATATCAGAGCAGAGGTAGCCAGAGTTGAGAGAACAAAGAGTAAAATGAAATTCCAGGAACATACGACAGCCATCAAGTGGCATACGTACATTCTGATCCACAAAGCAGGGAGCCACAAAGTCTGGGGCTGCATTAGGGCAGGAGATGCTGCTACAGGGGCCCTGTTTTTTTTTACAGTGAGTTCCAATGCAGCAGCTGAGTGAAGGCTTCTTTCTTTCCTGTGGAGCAAGTTGTGATTTTCTCTTGTCATTTTTGTTCCCTTTGTCCAAGAAGAATCACACATAAACTGAGTGCAACCTCACATCATGCTGAAGTCATTGCCCTGTACATGATCAAATGGAAGCTCATTTGCATCGCTGAAACGTGTAATAGAGAAAAAAAAAAACATTTGGTGGATCAGAAAGAGAAATATTAGGGCAGTGTGTCTGGGGGTCAAGGGTGAGCGAAGTATTAAAACATAAGCTGAGGACCAAATCCTGTGACACTTATGTAGGGCAGCCACGGCAAAATAACACAGTATTTAGGTCTTTAGCTTTTACTGTAAATGTGATAACCAGTCAGAAGATTATGAACTAGAGAAGGAAATAATCTGGCTTCCTTCTTAAAGGAACACTCTGGTAGTTGTGTGGAGAATAAGGCCTAGGAATTAAGGAAGGAAACCTGAAAATGTGTTAAGTAGCTATCCTGATAAGAGATTATTACTGATTAAATATCATCTAATTATAGTCATGCTAATAATTGGTCAGATATTGAATATACTTTAAAGACAGAGTAACAGGACTTTCTTATAGATTAGATGTGAATTGTAAGAAATAGAAATCAAGTGTCACTGCAAGGGATTTTGTTTTGGTTTGTTGTTTTGTTTTGGTTTTACTTGATCTGATTGAATAAAGATGGCACTCACTGAGATAGGATGAGCAGGAGGAGAAGTAACTTTACAAGAGATTTTAAAAAGAACCAAGTTCATTTGGGACTTATTAGGACTAAGATATCTGATAGAAACCTAAGAGAAGATATAGAGTCCCTAATGAAAGAGGCTGCTTGGGCTAAAATTGTACATCGTTGCATCGGAAGAATATAGATACATTTGAAAATATGGAAGTGGATGAGCTCACCTAGGAATTAAAAAAAGATATTTCAAAAGAGTACACCAACATTAGTATTTTTGAAAAACCAAGACATGTAATAAGAATCAAGAAAGAGAGCCTGGGATTAAGAGAAAAGTGAGAGAGACACTCAGACAGTATTAGCAAATTAAAGCAAAGAAAATCATTTAAGAAGGGAGAAGTGTGATCAACTGTGTCAGGTGCTTTTAATAAGCTGTATGAAGTGAGAATCTACAACTAGACACTGAATTTCAGACGTGTTTCACTGTGAAATCATAACTGCATGGTCTTAGGCAAAAAAAAAATGCACTGAGAACAGAAAGGGAGAAGAAATGGAGTTGGCAAGTAGAGACAACCAGTGTGAGGTGTGCACTGAAGTAGAAAAAAATGCGGGCTCTAGCTAGAGGGAAATGTGAGGGATAGGAGGTTTGTAATAATATTGGGAACAGTACAGCATGTTTATGTGGTAATAGTGAAGGTCTAGCACAGAAGGTCACTGGATGCAAGGGGACTGAGGGATAATGTGGGTGCAAAAAAAAGTTAAAAGAATGAGAGTAAAGATGCATGGTATATTTACACTCTGAGGAAACTACTAGACTCAAACTCACAGAAAATAAAAACAGAAAAGTTTAGAAAAATATTGCTGGCTTCACAAACTAAATATTTCTAAGAGATGAAACAGAACAGAAGTGGAAAATGGCAAAAGAAGCAGAAGTTTGTGCCCTAGAAATCAACAGTGGCACCTAGAAGTTGTGTCATATGGAACAGGAGAGACTAAAAGTACTTGCAAGAATCCATGATTGCAGTCAAGCTTTCTTCTGGAAGTATTTTGTACAAAGGCATCTTGCTTTTGAGCAAGTGCCAAGGTCGGGGAGGAGCTAACAATTTGTTGGGTTTTTAGCATACATAAAATACTGTTTCAGGAGAAAAAGAAGGCAAAGGTAAGTGTGGACAAATATCTAGTAACTGAGCCAAGTCACTTTTGGGTTAATGACTTTTTTGAAGAAGTCTTGAATAGTAGCATGGAAAAGAAAGCCCATAGGAGCATTAGCAGACTTGGGTTAAATAGATGGATCT